AAAAAAACTTTATATTTTATCAGTTATTTTCAGTAACGAATCTCTGTACGGATTCGGTAGATTTGATTGATCTTGTAACCACCATAAAAAATTAGGAAATAAATGTAAATTATGCCTCTTCGATTCCAGAATGACAACAAATTATAACATGTAAACATAAATGTTTAGACTTAAATAGTTTAAATCTCATAATATTATACATTTATATATATATATCTATTATTTATATTATATTGACCCTTCAGCCATGCCTGGTTAACAATACAGAAGTTACAATGATGCGGCACACGTGCTCTCATGTTACCATATCAAATATTATAAAACTGACCTTCAGTCTTTACAAAGTAACTTGTCTCGGCTGTGTTTAAGTAGACTAGTATTTTGTAAAATACAGTCACATTTCCATAAAGTCACATAAGGAGTAAATTATCACAAGTTTTATGCTTTGTTGATTTTTTTTCTATTTCATTCTATAGTTCTAACTGTAGGTTAAAAACACCTTGAAGAAGTTATGTTACATTTAAGAAAATGAATAATAAGTCTGGCTTACCAAGAACCCTTTTTCCTCTACATTATGCTCTGCATGAAGCTGGACCTTCATCATTACAGTACCTTCTAGAGGAGATGCGTACGGAACCTGAAAATAATGTTGACTTTTACAGTAAGTAACACAGATGATCAAGGATTCAAGGGAGTGATGTACGATGGCCATACTAACAAAAGGGAGTGAGTGATGTACGATGGCCATACTAACCAAAGGGAGCGAGTGATGTACAATAGCTGTACTAACCAAAGGGAGCGGGTGATATAAGAGGCTGTACTAACCAAAGGGAGGGAGTGATGTACAATAGCTGTACTAACCAAAGGGAGTGAGTGATGCACAATAGCTGTACTAACCAAAGGGAGTGAGTGATGTACGATGGCTGTACTAACCAAAGGGAGTGAGTGATGTACGATGGCCGTACTAACCAAAGGGAGTGAGTGACGTACGATGGCCGTACTAACCAAAGGGAGTGAGTGACGTACGATGGCCGTACTAACCAAAGGGAGTGAGTGACGTACGATGGCTGTACTAACCAAAGGGAGTGAGTGATGTACGATGGCTGTACTAACCAAAGGGAGTGAGTGATGTACGATGGCTGTACTAACCAAAGGTAGTGAGAAATGTACGATGTCCATACTAACCAAAGGGAGTGAGTGATGTACGATGGCCATACTAACCAAAGGGAGCGAGTGATATAGGATGGCTGTACTAACCAAAGGGAGTGAATGATGTACGATGGCTGTACTAACCAAAGGGAGTGAGTGATGTACGATAGCCGTACTAACCAAAGGGAGCGAGTGATGTACGATGGCTGTACTAACCAAAGGGAGTGAGTGATGTACGATAGCTGTACTAACCAAAGGGAGCGAGTGATATAGGATGGCTGTACTAACCAAAGGGAGTGAGTGATGTACAATGGCTGTACTAACTAAAGGGAGTGAGTGATGTACGATGGCTGTACTAACCAAAAGGAGTGAGTGATGTACAATGGCTGTACTAACCAAAAGGAGTGAGTGATGTACAATGGCTGTACTAACCAAAGGGAGTGAGTGATGTACAATGGCTGTACT